CTCCCCCCACCCTCCCCTCCGTGGTTCGGGGAACACTATTGGCAAGTCATATTATTAGATGCACTGAATTTAAAGAAAACTGTGGACAACTCATATTATTAGATGCGCTGGATTCAAAAGTCTGCATATGCTTTGTTGAATTAATTTCTTCGCTGAAGAATGGTTAAATGTTACATAATGAAATAGGTGAGTGCATATATTCTTGGAGAATACAGTCATCTTCTAGCCAGGCGTCCTGGGTGCAGCCCAAAGGAAATTTTCCACATCATACATGAGAAGCTTCCCTCTGTTTCGTAAGGGCATATTCTTCTGTCTCACTTTGCCACTATTTCTGTAATTCATATCTAATGGAATCAACCTTGACCAGGACTCCAACAATCCCAATACTTCTTTCCACCTACGCAAAGATTTTGATGCACACTCAACCGCCTGACCAGGAGTTACAGAAGCAAATCTGGGCTATCTTCAGCAAGTAATATCTTGATTACTGTTGCTTAGTATATAAGTAAAAAGAAATCATCTTTTGATTGTCATGACTTGGCGAATTGTACTTTTCATTTCAGGTATGAAAGTTGTATTGATGCCGAAATACAGCAGCGTGCTGTTGAGTATCATGCTTTGAGCATGAAAGGTCCTGCTCTAGTGGATATACTAGCTGAAATGCCGAAGTTCCCTGAAAGACAGGTTTGCATTGTTTTTCAAAAGTCATGAACTTGGTTGAAGCTCTTTTTGTGTATTTTGCCAACAGTGTTCGCATAATATTTATATGGATACTGAATGGACCTAATTTTTGGTTTCAGTCCTCGTTGTTAAAGAAGGCCGAGGATTCTGAAGCTGATACTGCTGAGCAAAGTGCAATTAAATTGCGAGCCCAACAGCAGAGTTCTAGTGCTTTGGTAGTGACAGATCAGCGGCCAGCAAACGGGCCAGCCCCTGTGAGCCAGCTTGGTCTTGTGAAGGTGCCTACCACGAGTAATACGGTGAGATTCCCTTCCGTAAAATCCTGAGGACCAACTCAGTTTGAGAATCTTATTATATTTCAGAAATACTTACGTACACTACACGGAGGTTCAGCGTGATTGACACCCAATTAATTTTCAAAATCTCAAATTCTTCATGTATGCTTCTATTTTACAAATTGGAATCCCTTTAGAGGATAACTTTGTAAAGTAAATGCATCCGAAGGAGTTTTTCGGCAACATTTTTAATTTTTTTTTTTGGGTGGAAGGTGGGGGGAGAGATGGGGAGTGGGTGGTCAAAAGATAGCTGGACTTGTACTTTAAAAAAAAAATGTATATTTTTGGCGTTTAAGCTAAAACTCAAGTATATTATAATTCCCTATTATCATTCTGTAATTGTAAACCAAAAGCTGAATACATGGGCAGGATCAGAACTCTACTGAACAAGGATTAACACATGCAAATGGGGCTTTGACAGTTGTGGATCCTCAACCTCCTAGCACGCCTTCTCCTGATTTACTTGGTGATCTTTTAGGTCCGCTGGCTATTGAAGGTCCACTAGACACGGCTCCTCAATCTGAGCCAAGGGTGGCTTCTGGGATGGAAATTGGTGTCAATGAAGATGCATTAGCCATTGCACCTATTGAGGAGCAGGCTAATGCTGTCCAGGTACATACTCTTCTTCTACTCGTTTATCTCTGCTTTCTGGATGCTTGTTTGCTGTTTGGATAAATTTTGAGAAAATGGAATTCTGTTGCAATTGTTTCTATCAAATCTGACATTCATACTTCTGTCGAAAAAGTTTGCCGACAGTATTCTATTGCTAAAGAAAATATTCAGGGTGTAAATGAATTCTAGGGAAAGAGGGTTTTCATCCCCTAAAGAAAAGAATACGCTATTCAGTGATACCATTTTTTCTCGTCAATTTTATTAGTACTGTTTTTAAAGTAAACACCAATCATTGCTATGCATTTTCATTTAAAATGTACTATTCATAACACGCATATTTCTAACTAGCAATCATTATTTTACTATTTCCCCATCACATCAGCTTCAATTATTTTTCATCGCACATCAATCTATATTAAAAAGTAATTAGTTCTCCCAGNAATGAAAACATATTTAATCGCACCTCCAGAATGTAGGGTCCACACCGGGCCCTAGCAGCCCCGTCTCCGTTCAGCCAATGAGGGAAAATGAAGAAAAGAAAACCCCTCTTGCCCAATACATTACTTTCAATAGTTCTAAAAAAATATAATTAAAAATGGAAAAGAAAACAAACGATGAAATAGTAGACTTGTCATTTTTCGATTTTGTAAGAGAAAAAACAAAACTTCTATCCGCGGTACTTTGTTGACTATGTAAAATCTGATTCTGATATTTTAGGGACGAGTTGCTGCTGTAGAAAATTTCACTTTTACTATTTTTCTCACTCTAGTTTATGCTTCTGGCTTACTACTCGGTGTTATATGATTGCAGCCTATTGGTGACATTGCGGAAAGGTTTCATGCTCTAAGGCTGAAGGATAGCGGTGTGCTATATGAGGATCCTTATATTCAGGTGCAATATCATTTATCACTTTACAACATAGTGTCCTACAGCTTGCTATGATTCGTAAGATGAATATTCCAATCAATTCAAATTGGGCTAAATACAATTTCAGATTGGCATAAAAGCCGAGTGGCGAGCGCATCAAGGGCGAGTTGTTCTCTTTTTGGGAAATAAAAATACTGCTCCTCTTGTTTCAGTTCAAGCTCTCATACTGCCCCCATCGCATCTAAAGATGGAACTCTCATTAGTACCTGAGACTATTCCTCCGAGGGCCCAGGTTAGACCGCCGATTCTATTTTTTTTTTGTCTTCTTTTCTTTTTTATTTTATTATAAAAACAGTTATTAAAGTAAATAATTTATGATTGAGAAAATACACGCTGTATGAACTTCTCAGGTTCAATGCCCACTTGACGTAATCAACCTCCATCCTAGTAGAGACGTGGCTGTGTTGGACTTTTCTTACAAGTTTGGCACCCATCTCGTATGTCTGAAGAATAATGAATTGAATATAAGAATTAAAAGCAGAGTATGGACAGGTAAAAGGCTGTTTTTATTCATGTGTAAAGCTAACATATTTTGCATGACCAGGTCAGTGTAAAACTTCGTCTTCCTGCTGTCCTGAACAAGTTTCTGCAGCCAATCTTGGTTTCGGCTGAGGAGTTTTTCCCACAATGGAGATCACTCTCAGGACCTCCATTGAAGCTGCAAGAAGTGGTATATGTGCTTTTCTTAATTGTATCTTTCGACTTTTTTTTTTTTATTAATGTTGATTATTTTTTTTTACTTCAGAGGGATATCTGACCCTATGCTCTATTACATTACTAGGTTAGAGGTGTACGGCCAATGCTGCTTCCAGAAATGGCAAACTTATTTAACAGCTTGCATCTGACAGTTTGTCCTGGGCTTGTAAGTGTACTTAATACTGAGAGGTTTCAAATGAACCCACGTGTGGGGTACCGTTGTTGCCTCTATGATAGGGCTTCTGTTTTAACTTTTTCTATTTCCCTTTTAGGACCCAAACGCCAATAATCTGGTGGCAAGCACAACTTTCTACTCTGAAGGCACGCGAGCCATGCTATGCTTGGTATGATGCTTCTTGTTCCCCCATTTTTCATTGTTTGAGATGATTCTAGTTAACTGTGATGAAAACTATCTCCACACGATTGAGTTACTGAGAAGCCCAAATTACCAAAAACATACTCCTAAGGTTTAGGAAAAGTACGAAAGATGCAGCTTTCTTTACTAATTATCAGGAAAACCTTGTTTTTAATATCCCCTCATTCACTGTGATATGTAAAATAGAGAGAGATATTTTAAATTTCTAAAAGTGGTGGACTTTCATTCTGCAGCAAGACTGAAACTTCAAAGGTTTTGTTGTGTCGAAATCTTGATAAATATCTGGATTTAGTTTTTAATAAAATTTACCCTGAAGGCTAGCTTTTTGTGATGCATTATTTTTCATTGCCTTTGGGTTTTATGTCTATTTGTTTGCGTATCCATATTTATTTACTTTATATATAAATTGAATATTGGTTTGCATTATTCAGGTAAGGATAGAAACCGACCCAGCCGATAGAACACAATTGCGGATGACCATTGCCTCAGGAGATCCCACTCTAACTTTGGAGTACGTAAAACATGTTTTTACTCAGCTTCACTCTTTTTTCACTCTTGCACTTGTGTTGACATCTGATCTTGAGCTTCTTATGAATATATGACAATGTTACAGATTAAAAGAGTTCATTAAAGAACAATTAGTAAGCATCCCCATTCCTTCTCGAGCACCCACTCCTCCTCAAGCCCAACCAACCAGTCCACCTTCAGCAGCAACTGATCCTGGGGCTATTCTGGCCGGTTTGCTTTGAGTGGTATTTTTTTTTTTAAATTATTTAAATTTTAAAGATTAATCGACAATATATATGTATGTATGTGCCCGATGTTCATACAGAGCACAGCTGCCGATGTGAATGAATACAGAGCAAGGGCTGGCGGGTGGTGTTAAGGTTGGAAAAAGATTTGTATTTGATGGGACTTTAGCAATTAGGTTTGGAATATTGTGGGGGGTTTTTGGAGTTTTGGTATTCTTTTTGCACACACTAATTGTGCTTTTGGCGAGATTTCCTCATTTTCGGGCGAGGGCCTTTTTTTTTTCTGGTTTAAAGTTAAACCCCCCTGTAGTCAGGTTTTTACTTGTTTGGTTTACCGTTTTATGCGATACATATTATATATCAAAAAGGCTGCGGCATTTGTAACTAACACGCTTGTTTTACTGTGTATGGTTGGGTTTGTGTATTTGTACGAGCAACATTAGTGAGAATGTCAATGAAGAGGGATGCATTTGATTTCGATTCTTCATAATTGGTTGAGAGTAAAATTTAGTCGTAATACTGCCGTGTTCATGATAGCCAGGATGTTTCACCTAAGACTTTGTTTATCGGTGACCGAATGGTTGGGTCACCAGGAAAAGACAAAAGAAAAATAAAAATAAAAATAAAAAAAAATCAACAAAAAGGCATGACCCAAGTCACAATGCGACCAAGGGTCACAACCGGTTGGGGAGAAGTTTGGGACACTTGTCCAACTTTCGTTGGACAAGTGTATTTTTTTAATAAGATAAAAATAATTTGTATTTTTAAGAGTTAATTTATATTAAAAATAAAAATAAAAATATCAAAATTCGTACTTTTTCATTCTCTATAAATAGAGACCACATATGATATATTTTGGAACATAATTTTAATTTAATAATGATAATTGGTTTGTGATTTTATTCAAATTATTTGTAACTTGTTTAACAAATTTTATTTTTTGTTCTAATTTTTATAATTTTAAATTTTAATTGAGTTCGCAATTTTATTTTAAATTATAATTTTTTAAAATAATTACGACTTTATTTATAATTTGTTAATTAATTTGTCACGCTTAAAATAATAACACAAATCAAATGTAGATAATACTTAATAAATAAATAAATAAAAATAAAATAAATAAAAATAAAATAAATATTTAGGTTGGGTTGGGTTGGGGATAAAGATAAGTTGAGTTGTAAAGTTGGGTTGTGTAAGTAGATGAGTGAGAAATAATTTTTAATGGTTTAGGTTGGGTTGGGTTGGATTGTTGATAAGGATAGTCTAAACGATCCTCAGAAGAGATATTGCCTGTGATTAAAATGAGTGAGAATGAATTAAGGGGGAAAAAGAAAGTTCTATTACACTTGTTTTGGAGCGTAAATATTGTTTCCCTAAATAATGACCATGAAAACGTTGAACCAAATGACACGGAGTGCCCTCCATATTGAAGGTAAAGACATTGAATGAATATTATTTGCTTCCATTTAGAGGTGTAAACGAGTTGAGTTTGACTCGCGCTCGAGCTCGAGTCAAGCCAACCTCGGCTTGATAATTAGATAAATTAGTAATTGAGTTCAACCTTGACTCGTTTATCAATTTTAACTAGTCAATCTCGAGTCTTAATGAATCAAACTCAAGTCTTAACAAACTGAAGTATAAAAAATTACATAAATTTTTTTATTTTCAAGCCTTAACGATCCGAGCCAGACTCATTAGTGAAGCCAAATTTAAACCTTAACAAGCCAAATCTAGTCAAGCTCACGAGCAACTTGTTTAAATTTAACATTTGTAGGTGTGTAGATGTGTGTGTGTGTGTGTGTGTGTTTTTTTCCCCTTATGTTTTCTTATATACCTAGTTTGTTTCTGGTTTTTGGTAGTATTGTGTGTTATCTTTTCCCCTTAATAATAGATTATATAGTTTCCAAGGGATATATGTCTAAACTTGTATTGTTTTAAGTTACTAATATAATGTTTATCATTTTGTATAAAATAAAATGCAATACCAGTGCTTATAATAATAATAATAATAACAATAATTAAACGAAAAAATAAGTGATGCCAACACTACAAAGTTCAACTGTGCATGTGAGAGTAATTTGATGAAGCATCATGCTATGTATATAAAACCTATTCCCATATCACAATTACTTCAAATAATCAGACAAGCACACTTAAAAAATGCTTATCCATCTAAATCAAGATCATCAGTTCATAATCATTCTCACAAAAATGAGCTAATTAACTTCACTCCACCACCACCACCACCACCACCACCACCTTCATGTTGATCAAACTGAACTTGCAAATTCTGATCTCCATCCCACCAAAGCAACCCTATGGCCCCTCCACAAACATTCTTTTTATGCAGCCACAAAAAGTGCTTCAACTAACAAAACCTTGAAGAAATCCAGCCAACACGAACCAAAATGACCGAGCTTCACACTTACCATCCTTATCAAGATTTTGTAAGACTTATGCAAAATTCTTCCAAAAATCAGACAAAAAGTACTTACTTACTTTATTACCGCCACTCACGACAATCACCACACTTCCAGCATTCCTCCAAAGATGAAGACTCGAGCCATGGCGAACAGCTGCTATGTACCGAAATACCACACACTTGACAGCAAAGCTCCGGACAAGGTTCGCTCAGTGAACAAAATTTACAAGGCTGAATCTCAAATGTGGTCCCAACAGAGACAATGGGTTCCTCCTCATCATATAATATCTCAACCATTTCATTTTCTGGAAGAACAGACAGATTTTCCAAATCTCCCACAACAGCATTTTCCTGTGACTCGTTTTCATCAGGCGCAAGCAGTTCATTGAAAGAGAAATACGTCTGAGGTTCAAAATCCGTATTCTCGTCATAACCAATACCATCAAAGTCCAATATTACACTGTCGTCAAAGCTGTTATCGGGAACATCCCATTGCGCTTGAGAGGATAACGGGTAGTTGAATTCCAAAGGGTTGGTTGTTTCTGGAAAACAATCTGACCTGCTTTTTAACTCCAAAGACTTGGTTAATTTGGGATAACAATCTGACCTGCTTTTTTCCCTCTTTGCATTTTTCCTAACTGGTAATTTCCCAGTAGAGTTGAAATTCGCTTCAAAAGGAACAGGTGAATTGTTGTTTTCTTGCTTGATATGTCTTCTGACCAGCAGCTTCCTTGGACCGGAAAAAGATGCATTTGAGTTATTGCATTCGTGTTCAGGTTCGGACGTTTGGGTGCACTGCTCTAGTTCAGAGAGAGAAAGGAGAAGGGTATCATCTCCTACAGCGTGATTGATTTCTTCATTTTGGTGTAATGCGGGATGAAGTTGCCCGTCTTCTAAAAAAGTTTCAAAGCTCGACTGAGAATTGGAGTCCATATCCTGAATATCGAGTTTAGGATTTCTGCCCTTCATTTTCTTCTTTTTTTCCTTCTTTTTTTTTTCATCACTGTATGGACAATGGGGACGTTTTAGCCTACGACACCTGCAGCATTTGTACCCCAACAAGTTGGAAATCTGAGACTCGTCCAGTTCAAGGGCCTCCGCATGAAACCAACCTGCAGGTACAATAAAACTGACATATCAGCTTGCATACTAACCAACATGAGGAAAAAGAAAAAACCAGACATTAAATACAACCCTTAAGCTTCAACCAAGTTACAAAGACCACTCCTTCGACTGTTACAACTCACAACCACCCCCCTTCACAGCTTTCCAGGGTGCAATTCGTAATACAAACAAATTTCAATCTGGTATATCATATTTAAATGATTATTTTTCTAACTTACAACAACCCCCTTCATAGCTTTCCAGGATGCAATTTGTAGAACATAAGCAAATTTTATCTGGTATATCAGATTTGAATTATTCTTTTTCCCTATTCAGCAATCAAGCTAGATTTCAGATTTAGTTCTTGTAGTTACTATTAGACGAGATTTACACTCATGGAAATGCTTGCACTGAAATGTACGCATCTGTCTAGGGTGCAATTTGCATCAAAGGAAGAAAATTTTTCAGGGGGCTATTTGTGAGTTGAACTTGAAAGATAATTGCACCCCTCTCTTAACAAATTTCAAGCGAGTATTTGTACTTAGAAAATGGAAGGTGGTTTTCTTCCTTTCTTTTTTATATCCATTTCTTTTTTGCATTTGCAATCAGGTTGAATCTTAGGTGTAGTTTTGTAATTAATCACTATTTCAGATGTTGTGTTGTGAATAGGCTTACGGTTGCATGCTTCACATTTGATGTACATCAGCTCGGCATTGTACGGTTTAGAACAAAGGCAGCAATTGGGTCTGTCAGGGTTTTTATCCGGATTGCCTCTCAGAATGATGTTTTCAAGTCTGAAATCAGCGCCAGTGTCTTCACAATTATTCTTCCTCCATATTAGGCCCCAATGCCTAATTTTATTTTTATTAGCTGTTCCCGAGTCATTACAAGATTTCATCTCCTTAGTACGCTTTTGTGGCTCAAAAGATGCCGGTGATGCTTTATGACCGACTACTTTGACACGTTTGCTGGAGGTAACTGCTTTTGGGACTTGAAGAAGCAATGGGCTTGTTGGGGACCCGTAGCTATGTGGGGCCTGATTAATGGCAAGAGTCTCAGAGCAACGCTGGCAAGTGATTACATAATTGACTTCTGTGTTCGTATGACCTGTCAAGCTGATGGCACAATTTTCATGGCATAAACCTGCACAACAGAACAATCTTCGCTAAGTTTTCAGTATAAATGCCATAAAAGGTAGGACACTGTATGCACTAGCACCTTAGGGGGGGAATGCATTAACATTTAAATGCAAATTGGCATTTTCTGATAAGAAATCCCGCAAAATTAGGATCCAAGTGAGTGCCATATGAATAGGCTTCAAAATCACACATAATGACAGAGGTTAAAATCATCCTCAAACCAAAAATAATTATACCTTTGCTCACACATCAGGGTAGGCCCAAAAAACTGGCATATACATCATTAGCCAGACATGAAATATTTAGGAATAAATTAAATGGGGATGAAAAACAAAGGCCAAAGCGGAATATGAAAGCTGTCTTCAAATCGTTTATGAAAAGCAGCTGACACTTATTTCACATAATGACTCGTGATCATTTTAAAAACAACAAACCGGTCCAAGAAAAACAATAATAATCTTGTTATCATTTTCAAACTATAAAACTAGGGTGACTTCTGTTGGCTTACTATTAATTTATTTTACCATTAAGGGAAACCTTCATTGAGAGATATTTTATTGGAATTCAAAGATGATGATAACAGAAGTACAACATTTTAGGCCACCACAATACCTTGGCAAGCACTGCATTTGACAGCATTCCTGGAAATCAAAAAGTTTCAACTTTTAGAATTGATAGAGATCGCACAGCGCCAAAATAAGTTAAATTTATGAAGAAAAAAAAAAAGCAAAGTGAAATACCAATGCAGGACATCCTGATGACATGAACAACAATGACTCTTGGCCGTATTATCTTGCTTCCGCCAGAGATAGTAGAAAATACTCTTTTGAGAAGCTTTCCGCTGCCTCCTCTGCAGTTTAGACAGCACATCAACAGAGTTGCTTTTCCCCACTTTCTCTTCATAATCCTTAATCAGATATAAAGGGATGCGCGTCTCAGAGAACCAGTATCTCTCCTTTCCATCATCATGAAATTTCTCTACTTCTGCTACATTTTTCATCACACGAGAGGGCAAATGTTTCTGACTACCAAAAGCAACGCAGTATCTTATCTCATGTTCCAGAACTTTTTTATCACAAATAGAAGCATTTCTAAAAGCAGAAGCTTCTGTGTCTGGGCCTTTTCCATCAGGGGGGCCCTGTTCTGGACGAACGAGATCACTCCACCTCACATGGAAGTCAAGGTATCGAATCTGATGAAGCACCATTGTGTTATCAGGAAAGTACAAAAAAGAGATGACCAGATATGATGACTGAAGTAAATGCCCAGAAAAAGAACCAAGGAACAGCACAACAATATAGAAAATTTCAAACTAAATAAATAAGTAAAAGGGCACCTGAAGTGCAAGTTGTGCTATGTTCCTACTCATTTCAACCGCTGACCGCCAGATAAGCTGCCTGCTACATTTAGGGGTCTCATGTCCTCCAACATATTGTACTCCAGGTATATTCTTTGAACCACCTGCCATGGTTATAACCAGTTAATAATATATATTCATAATTTGACAAAAGCACACCCAGTGCTAATCCGAATCCTAGGCAGAACAAGAAAAGACTAGCCCTGAATCTTACCTTGACGGGCAGCTTTCCTAATCATTGAACGTGGAAGGGTCGCTGTTTGAGACATAAGCTTGGACAATGTACCTCCTCTCCACCAGGTGAAGTTATTCGACGAATCCCCGCAATCATCAGTTGAAACTTCTACAACGGCAGAAGGTTTCCTACCACGCCTCCCCGGTTTACGCTTCTGAACTGATCCAGCAGCATTTGCTGCAATCTGAACATTGGAAGATTGAGTTGAGCAGCCACTAACAACCTTTACCCAGTCTCCAGAGAAGGCAATTGGGCGTACATTCTCCTCAAGCTGTAAATGCACACACAGTTTTTAACTGGAATATACTCACCGATATATTTAGTTATTTACGGATAAAGTGCAGAAAATAATCCCTATGCATATATACTGCAGTGAGCTATTTTCTAGAAACTCAGATTCATTAACCCTTGATTTCAAAAGGCATATCGAGGAAAACTAGTAGAGGACATGCAGGCAGGCATGACTAAATTAAGCGGCCATGCATATAAGACAGTGATGCAACAAGATCAACTGACTTAACAATAGTACAAGTTGAACGGTGACCGAATCATAAACTAGATTGAGGTACAACCAACAACAGAAATCAGATTACTTACTTCAAGCAAAAGGATCTTTATTGCATTGCAACTAGAAGCCTGTTCAACTTGCTTACGCCACCTTTTCCGAAAAGAATCATTATGGAAAGGACCGATAACAAGACTACTCAAGCTCTCCTCAATATACAAGATGTATGTGGTCATGCCAGCAAGTCTACTGTCCCCATTCTTTAAAGGACGGACACCTGCCGGAACTTTTGCTGTCCCTCTGATGGCATTTAAAGCAGCTGCATTTAACAAGCAGCCTCTCTTGCTTGACCCTGTAGCTTTACATGAAAAGCACCAGGAGCATCTTTCCCTAGGTATGTCCACAAGCTTCTTCTCGGGATTCGGCCAGGAAAACCTCGTAGTTGCTGCAGAGAAAGCTTTTACCTGAAGTGAAATATTGTCGGACATACCTTTTCGGCGATTATTTGAAGAGCGGGCCTCAAGAACTTGGCTTTCTTCAGATGAAAGAATGGCCAACTTAGCAGCTGCAGAAGCAGCAAAATCTCCATGCAGGTAATTATTTATATAACCAGCTGTCTTGAAGGAAGAGCCTGTGTACGAGCAACCATCAGATGGATTTCCATGACACTTGCTGTCAAGCTTAATAGTTAGCCTCAGGTGTGAACGTGATATGTTAGTTCCTTTGGTAGCACCACACGCCGGACCACTGTTATTAGCATGACAGGTTCTTGTGGTGTTGGGAACAGCTCCTGTAACACTCAAATGACTTTGTTTGCTTAACTCACTGGTGTCATCAGGGTGGCCTGTTAAACCACCAAATAATATGTGTTCAACAATTGACGTGTTCATATTTGAAACGGACTGTTGTCTAGTAGAATCTTCATTACCAAACTGATCAGATATGAATACTTTATCCAAAGAATTCTCATTTTCGACAGGCTCCTGCAGAGACTTAGGAAGACTTGAAGCAGCCATGTCTGCTGCATTTTTACCATTCTGATAACATCCAGTTTCCAATAAATTATCCAAATAACTGTTACATTCACCAACCCCTATTTTATTTGCCACTGGCATTCCAACTTCAGACACTTGGAGGCTAGGTAAAATGTCTTCAGGTAGTTCCCAATACTGCATGATCCCCTTGCATATTTCCATATATGTTACGGCATGCTCTGTGTTTGAATAAAGACAATGGAGAACTCTGGGAATGTCATGCTTCTTGTAGTATTTGAGACATATTTCAGAGTTATTTGAGGCTTTCAATCTGCAAAGTAATTGCCAGAAAGATAAGATAGATTTTAGCAGGGTGCAAAGCGTCTTTAGTCATTAACATTACACAAAGTCAACAGGAAAAAAGCCACAGGTAAGGAGACGGAAAGTGAATAACTCATGCACAATGTACAAAGTAGATTGCAGAGTTTACTAAATCAAGGATAAACGTCAAAAGAGAATAAGAAACATACACGAGCAAGTGGTCACAAGTCGCAACAAAAACTTGTCGGTATGGATCAACACCAAAATTATGCCCTCCCCTCAGAGCAGTTTCTCGTACAATTTTAGGTTCAGTTGCATCTATTTTACACTCAGGACAATACCAGGAACCATCTGGCATATGCGTCTTGCTCAGTCCTAAGCATCTCGAGTGATATGACGAAGGGCACCCATCACAGCATAAGAGCAATCCATCCATGCCACAAATACGACATTCATCACCATTACTATCATCATCAGCTGAACTCCCAACTTGTTCATCTAGCTGAGTAGAATGATTATCCACTGAAGATTTGATGTCATGATGCTCTGAGATACTTGCTTCAACACCCTTGGATGCAGACGCTTTATTGTATCTAGAACGAATTCTACTGGTTCCAACAATAGGTCTGATCACTGTATCCATATCAGCGTCAACTCCTACTTCTGATTCTACACGAATTTCCATTTCTTCTCTCAGTTCTTCAGAATCCATAACGTCATCACATAAAATCTGCAAAAGCAATAATTTTTGTCCAGACGATAAAGTGTAATAATCTCTCTCCAAGGTATGGGTGTAGAATTTTTTCCCCTCAGTTCCCCTTTTGTAACCCATCACCATCAGATAGTGGACCAAGTAGATTGGCCAAGTTAAGTTATCCAACAAGCTCCAGTCAAGACACCTATAAGTAGAAACACACGAGAGGTTTTAGTAAGCAACAAATAAAACTGATTATAGAAGAATGTCGCACCCCCCAAAAAACAAACAATGATCATTGATTAATTAAAGCAATAATTGGCTGAACTTTCTACCAAGTGCATAGCAGTTAAATTGTGTATTTCAAGAATTGTATGTCATAAAATGATAAAGTGAATAATATGCTTTGTTCAATATTACAATTTCAGGATAAAATTAAGCAAAAGCATAAAAGGCTTGAAACCTATAAGCTAACAGGAACACACAATTATTGTGCAAAAGAAGATGCAACCCCCACTCCCCTCGAACCCACCTACATAAACATGATTAGATTTAAAAAATAAAAAGTAAAAAAATAAAAAGTAGCTCCATAGAAAAGCTTGAAATGATATAAGGGATTTTACAAGTACCTCAAGCATTTTGATGCAAGATCCGAACCTTCTGATGAGAGCCTCTCAATGTGGCGTTTCAGGACACGCAACAGAGCAACATGAACAGAGTCCAACAATGTATTCGCGACAGAGCAATTGAGTGCACCCACAAAATCATCTAATCCAAAGGGGTATAGGAACAGCTGCAAGCTAAATGACCGTAAGAAACCATGAACTGCGAAAAGGTGAGACACATACTCCTCTGGAATACCAATATGCCCAGAAGAAGGAGGTAATTCTGGTGGTGGAACAAGGGGCCCTTCTATCTCGACATTAGCATCCTGCCCTTGAAAATCTTCGCATGAATCACTCAAAACATCAGCATTGGCATCATCATTACTATCATTTAGAACATCCATTACTACATTGGCGCTTGTTTCACCATTGCTCATCTCATTCTGCGCTGATGAATCAGCCAGGCTCGCTTTTGGTGCCCCTAGTGCATCAACTTCCAAAATCTTTTCGCTCGCTTTTGGTGCCTCTAGTGCATCAGCTTCTAAAATCTTTTCGCTTGCTTTTGGTGCCTCTAGTGCATCAACTTCCAAAATCTTTTCATTTACGTCTTTACCAAATAATAACGCATCCAACTTTGCTTTCCTCTCAGACCACTCACCATTTAAATCGCAATCTTCCACTAAAAAACCCTTAACTTCCATACTGTCCAGATCCTCAAAATCCCCATCCTCATAGTTTATCCTATACAAACCGGTATTATAACACACAACTTTCCCCAAGAATACCCCACTGCAACCAAACTCTTTCCTAACATATCTTCCCACGAGTTTTAATGACCTTGTCTCTTTTACCCTTTTGCCGACATTAGAATCCATCACGTTTGGTTCATCAATTTTCTTCCGCTTTCTTCCCCGCCTCTTGGGCTCAACTACCACAGGCTCCATTTCACCACCAACCCTAATTGAATCCCAATAGGACAGCCTAAATCTAATCCAGCATCACAACCTCTTCTCCGAATATTTCAGCAGCAGTAAACAGAGGACGCTCCCTGAAAACCTATCTGTCTGAACCTCACACTTCCCTTGGCCTTGAGAACGCTATAACGAAATCAAAATTGAATGTTAATCAATTCTCATACAAATTAAAATAATATGAATTTTATCAAATGATGTGAACACAAGTGGATGTTTTAGATCCACGATTAAAAGCCAAAACCTAGAACTTTGAAGCTAAGATTCGTAAGAAAAAACAATTCTTTAGCCAATAACTAAGTCGATTCCGATGCTGATTGCAATTAAAGGTAGGGTTTGCCTGTAAACGCGAGGATAGATGAGCAGTTATCACAACGAAAGTGTAAAAACGAAAAGATAGTACCTTTTTGTTGGATGTACTCTAATGGATCACCGCCATTGAAGAAGGTTTGAGAAGAAAGAGAAAAGGAGATATAATACGGTAGGTGCTGTGGTGTTGATGTGATGCGATTTGGGATATAGGGTGAAATTAGCCCTAACCATTAACACATTCATTTGTTGAACCATAGATTCTCTGCACCTTCGGTAGTAAACAGTATATTACTTACTATTTGAGTCGACTCGTAAATCGCCCGATTCAAAACCTTTTATAAGGAATTTCAAAATTTCTAACTTATTATTATTATATTATTATTATTATTATTTGCTTATAACTTTTTATTAAATTCATTCTAGATATTATCTAATGGTTGGAATATTTATATCTGAATGTTTTAGCAATAAGACACAACAATACCCGGGTGTTTGTTAAAAAAATATTCTTAAATATTAAAATTAGTGACAAAATTATTTTAAATTTTATTTACTTTATACAAAAAATATATATTACATATATTTTAGAATGACATTTGTTACTTGTGCGACTTACATGTGTTATACTTAATTTTTACAACTTATATCATATAACTACTTGAAATATAAATATATTAGTTGATAAATAATTTTATTTTTCTAAGTAATTTATTTTTTTTATCATACAATATGGATGTTAAATCGAAACTTATCAAGAAATGATTAATTTGATATATTATATATGTAAAACTGATAAAAAATACAAAAGTTATTAACATTTAAATTACATTTACAATACAATGGTTATAATAAGAAATAATATTAAAATGCAATTAATACATATAACATGTCCATAAATAATCAAAATATTTATGGATAATCCAGACTAAGTATTTTTGAATTGGAATTGAATTAAAATATACCTAACCAAATAATCCAAACCTAATTATATTTGGATTGAAGTAAATTAAAATCTACTTAAACCTAATAACGAAACATGTAATTTTGCCACATAAGATCTTGAAGCATGCGAGCTTGCTACTTATGCTCAGCACGTTCTGAATTAATATATAGGGGGATAATTTGACGCCATAAAACTTTTAACAATTGATTTTGTTTTTACGGAATTAATTTGGTTGTGCATAAATTTTAAATGTTGATTTTGAAAATTATTTTGTTGAGTCATATTTTATTAAACTATATTGACTTTGTATAAATTTTTAAATGATGGTTTTAAGACTATTTTGTGCTTTTAATTTAGCCATTCAAATTAATAATAAAAAGCTAATGATTTCATTTTCATTTATCAGTCAAATGATACCACTAGAAATACAAATTTGTAAGACAAGTTTTCATATGAGCTAAAAGTCTCAAACAATCCTTTTTTTTTTAAAAATAAATTTTTAATATACTGTATGGAATGCCCTGTAAATTAGAACTTTTAATGTTAGACAAAAATTGAATAAAAATAAATAAAGTACAAAACAAAGGAATAGAAAATAGTAATCTATTACTATATAATAAGGAGAAGAAAAACTAATTGGAAAACTTTGAAAAAAATATTTCATTTCCCGCTTCTTTAGTCATTCTTTCCCGCTTCTGTTTTTCGTTTTGAACAATTTTCAGCAAATATTTTTGAAATTTTTTGCATGTCCCGCTTAAACAATTAATTAACCAATTAATCACATCCAATATTTGGCAAGTAAATCACATCCAATTATATATTATTTTAGACTCATTTTATTTCGTTGGGGGAGAAAAAAAAAAGAGTCCTTAGATTTTCAAAAGAAAAAGGAATAAATTATTTGATTATTAATCAAAATAAGTAATTAAAAATTATAAAATTATGTGACCTAAGTAATATGTACTTAATATAAACATAAAATCAAATATTGAATATTTAATATCATGAATGATATAAATTTAAATTTACTACTAAATAATATTTTTTTTTCACGTTAATGTCAACAAATTATTTGATTCAAACAATTTATCATTAAATATCTAATAATCAACAAATCGTGAAATCCCGTGGCATAGCACACTACAAAAATATGACATCTATTAATATATAAAAAGACAATGATATTTACTTGAAATAGTAACTAAAAATCAATAAAAAAATATTTGGTTTTCCCGCCTAAAAATTCAGAATTACTAAATTGGGCAATTCTTTTTTCTTGCCAAAGTTTGAAAAATCCTGCCTAA